CTTCCCGTGCCAACGTGTAAGGGTGCTAAAGCCAATCCAGCCCTTCCAAAAGCAGAGTCCCTGCCGGCTCCTGGACACTCTGGGAGCGCAACGAGATGCTCCGTTGCCCGAGCACTCGCGGCAGCGTTTCTGCTCTGCAGCAAAACTCCCACTGAGAAAGTGCTGCAGAAACTGCTCCCTTTGCCCGGGCGAGGCTCACGGGAGCGTCTCTGAGTACAAGAGCAGGTTCTGGCCGCGTGTGCAGCGGGAGTTGGGCGAAAGCCTCCGTGTCCCCTTCCTGCTGTCCCACGGCCCGTGCGGTGTCCCTACCCGCTGGCCCCGGGATGCTGAGGGCTCCTGCTGGTGACAGGAAAGGTGCCAAGCGCGGGGCCTGGCGATGCCTTGCAGGAGGGCGGCTGCGCCAGGCAGGACCCCCGCAAGGCTGGAGCTGTCCCCCCGCTTTATTGTCCTGCGGATCTGGGCTCTCTCCGTCGTGTCATGCAGCTGATGTGTATTGGGGCAGGAGAAGGGCCAGGCCCCAGAGCTTGCTCTGCTCAGAGATTAGGTCTCCGCTCACAGCTCAAGCCTTGCAAAGCTGAGCTCACTAGCAGATACCTCACCTAAGCACGGCGGTGCGGCTTTATTGTTGCTATCCGCACTTTGATGTTTTCCTTACAGCCCTGGAATCTCAGCCTTTATTTTTCCACCCGGCTCTTCCCAGGGAACGGCTGCCTGCCTCCCCCTGCTCCACGACAACTTTTGAACCCGCTGCTCGATTTCCGACAGGCTCGATGGCGGGGCAGAGATGGCAAAGATACAGCTTCCAGCAAGGCTGGGGGGCTGCGGGGGCGAGGAGCTGCTGGGCGTGGGAGAGTGAAGCCTCCTGGCTTTGCTGCAGGTGTGACAGCAGTTTTTAAGAGGGAACAGCAAACCTCCAGAGGAATAGGAAGAAAAAAAAAAAAAATCAATTTTATTTCATTGAGAGCCCAGATCGCCGGATTCCTGTGTGCGTCTGCCTCCTGCCAGGGGTTAGCCCCTCGCATCCCTGCCCACCCTTGACAGCTCCTGCAAATGACCCTCTAATGACGGGATGGTCCCAGTGTGAAGCTGCTGGAATATGTAAGCGGCCCCGAGGAGGGTCTCTGCGGGCGGGGGCGATGCCCCAGACACGCTTTGTTTATCCGCCGGCTGGGATGTGGATTGGGGATAATCAGGCTGGGCC